GAGAGAACTCTATCAACATCAGAGGCCCGAGACTGTTCAACACGCTTCCACTACACATAAGGGGCATAACTGGTCGACCCCTCACAGTGTTCAAGAGAGAACTGGATAAGCTTCTCCAAAGGATACCTGATCAACCAGGCTGTGACTCATACGTCAGGCTGCGAGCAGCCGCGTCAAACAGCCTGGTTGATCAGTCCAGCAACCAGGAGGCCTGGTCGACAACCGGGCCATGGGGACACTAAGCCCCGGAAGCACCTCAAGGTAACCTCAAGGCAAGGTAGCATATCAGCCTGGGATAGCTCCGGGGAGCCTCTGGGTCTCACCCAGAAAATGGCATTTCATTACATTCAACGTTGTTTTTTTGTATTTTCATCTGTGTATGAATTTGAGCTTGGTTTGTTTACAGGTGCCCTAGGGTTCGTCAAATACATCCTTCCAAAGGTTTCCTTCTTCTCAGATTTTTCTACACAGGTTCAGGAGGCCCTAGATGCGTACTTCCTGCAAGACCTAGTTTGTGCCTCATTAATGGATCTGGCTTCCTTTGAGTTTGGTTCTTCTTCCCCATATTGGGTGCGTTACAAGGTTCCAGAGTCTTCCTGTCTGGCAGACTGCCCTTTCTTTTCCTTGGGAGCTTGGCATGGGTTTTGCCAGACTCGCACACTTGAGTGGCGAGAGGTTTCCTCGGTGTTGCAGGTGCTTTTGGGGGCTCTTTGGAGTTCCACAATGCGTGGCTTTTCTGCCCTGTGTTTTTCTGTGATATGGGTCAGAGCAGTTCCATGCTCAGGTCCCCTCTCTCTTTCAGCTGCCTTGGTGGCGGATGACCATCGAACTCGGGGTCATTTGGCTTCGGTCTTGTGGTCTTCGGTCTTCTCGAGCTGTCCTCGGATTTGCTTTCAGAGGCATTGAGTGGGAGGCCTTCAGCCGGAGTTCTGGTTTCAACTGCCTTGTTGAAGCTGTTCGCATCCATCCTCTGGGAAGCTGTTTCTATGTTTTTTGCCCCCTGTCTCATATGTTGGCAGGCCGTCCTCACTCTCTCTTTAGATTCTGCTTGGGCCCTGGCTTTACAGTTTTCATCTCTGTTCTGTCCTCTGTTATTTATGAAGGGATATGCTACTCAGTTTTTGTTGGCGGGCTTCTGTCAGTTGCTGCCCTGTTTCTGATTTGTTAGTTCTCCGAAGGGAAGAAGGGGTGCTCGCTCTTCCCAGGGTAGTCATGCCAAGGCTCAGGTATTGTTATCGAGGTGGGCCTTTTGTGCCAGTTTTGGAGCTGGTGCGTCCTCCAGGGCCGCCTTCTTATGGTCAGTGCTGGTCGCTCTACATGGAAGTCGGCTTCTCAGAGGTCGCGTCGGCCCTTTCGCAGGGCGCCCCATTGACAGGGTGATGGGGAGGATGCTGGCGCTGTTTTCCCACGTTTTTTCCCATGATTCGTGGGCTTTTCACGTCTTCCAGCCTTTGGTGGCGTTGGGTGGTTCCTCCTTCGGTTGGGGGGTTTGGGGCTGGCTGGGCAGGCTTCTTCCCTGTCTCTCTGTCAGGTCATATTGGAGTGGGATCAGTTCCGGATGAGCCGGGCTGTGGTGGTATGTGGGCCTGCGGGCCACTCCAAGCAACAGCCTGGTGGACCAAACTCTCACAAGTCGAGCCTGGCCTCAGGCCGGGCTTGGGGAATAGAAGAACTCCCAGAACCCCATTAACCAGGTATCAACCAGGTATCATCCAGGGTTTGCTTAGGGGTGGTCAAAACGACTTCGTCCCTCAAGTGGAGGTTTCTTGCCTGGTTCCTGTTATGAAACGGAACTGTGCGGATCTGCGGTTCATTCTGGACTTGTCACGTCTGAGCCGTTCGATTCCTTGTCCCAGGTCCAGCTTCTTCTCGAACCGTGCACTTGAATATCTCTGGACCTCGAGGACGCGTATTGGCACATTCCTATTCATCCGGGGTTCAGGGATTGGCTAGGTTTCATGGTTGGACATCGGGCATACTGCTTTCGCTGCCTTCCATTCAGCTTGAATCTGGCACCTCGCGTGTTCATGCGTTTTACCCGAGTCTTGGTGGCCTGTCTTCCTCTACTAAGGGTTCGGGTTCTGGCATACCTCAACGACTGGTTCCCAGTTAATCTGCATGTCTGCTTGCCAGGGACGTGGTTCTTCCCAGCTTGCCTGGTTCGGGTTCCTGTTGAATTGGAGGAAGTCCCATATGGTTCCATTTCGGGTTTGGAATGGCTGAGCCTCATGTGGGATTCTCAGATTGCATCCATTTCTCTTCCTCCTGTGGCTTTGCTCCAGCTGCAGTCCCATTGTCTGATGTTTTTGAGGGGTCCCGGGTCACTCGGTGGTTGCTCAAGCAGTTGTGCAGGAGCCTGAACTGTGTCTTGCTGGTTTTCCCACTGAGCAGGATTTGGCTTCAGAGGTTGTTCTGGTATCTTCGGGGCAGCCCCCTTTTGCCACTATCATGATGGCTGGGTTCACCCCCTTCCCCCCCCCCCCCTCCCCCTCCCATGTACTTGCACTGGTTGCTGCATCAACTGCTTCCTTTTCGGGTTTTTTGGGGTTCGGTGCCATGGCGCCTTGCTCCTCACCCCTCGATATTTTTGTTTCCTCTGCAATGTTTATGTTAGGGCTTTGTGACCAGCGCTCAGCAGTCCGGCCAAGGGCAATGACGGCTGTCTATAATTTGAGCTCGCAACACTATGTGGGAGTTTGCGGCGGTATGGCAGGTGCTGCAGAGGGTTTAGATTCTTTTTTGCTCGGTGCCTATTGGGTTGGTGTCACCTTCAACCCTGAGTCTTGTGGGACTTGTTTGCTTCCCATGTGCTCATTCATTCCTCTGTGGAAGTCCAGATGTCTCAGGCAGCAGTCGCTTTGTATTACACGTTTATCCATTTTGCAGCATACTTAGTTGTGTGCTAGTTGGATGCCCTGGATATGCCCTGTTTGGTGTTTTGAGAATTTGGATCTGGGGTGTTGATTAATTTGATCGTGGTTCTGCCCGCACCCCCTGTACCTTCATTGGTGGGCCGGTTTTGCCCTTCTCCTCTTCCCCTGCTTCCAGCTTCGATACATCTGAGGGTTTTGAATTTGGGGCTGCGTTTAGCTCGGGATGTGGCTGGGCAGTTCTGGAGGTTGCCCCTTCTGATGTGGGTGCTGAGGCAGTTGAGCCATTCTATTCCACAGAGGCTTCTGGGTTCTCCCAGCCAACCCCTTCTTTCGAAGTTTTTGCCTTGAACTTTGCTTTCCCTTCCTGGGCAATGGGCATGGATGAGTGCTCTGCCCCAGGGCCTTTGGCTGCTGTTCCCAGGATTCTGTGGGAGTCTGATTGGAACTCTTGGGGGTTCCTTTTGACCCTGTGTTGGCCCCCATGTTCTCTGAGCAGGGTCAGGTGTTTTCATAACCCCCTTCCCTGTATGCTTTTGAGTTAGGTGCAGGGTTCCCCCAGGATACATTTCTGGGTGTCTTTGGGCACCCCAGATTCATCATTCTGGAAGTTCTTGTCCTGTCATGTTTTCCCGGCAGAGGCGCAGGGTGCTTGGTACATACCTTCTGAGTAACCCAGTAAGGCCTCAGTTATGGATCTGGCCTCTTTTGAGTTCTATTCATTCTCGCCTTCTTGAATGCACTGCAAGGCTCTAACATCATCTTGGCTAGGCCTTCAGCTGCACATCACATCATATGATTGGACTCACAGTTGCTTCCCCAGGCATCCAGTAACACTCCCCCATTTTGAAAAAAAAAAAATAAAAACAGTGCAACATGGAATTCAGCAAAATCCACTAGAAGTTCTGAGGCTTCCAACATTGAAAGTTTAAAGTTTCAAACAAGGAGCTTCACACACTGCCCCTGTGCTCTCTGGCTTGTGGTCAAGTAGTTCACCTCTAACGCTTCTTGTCAAATGCACAATGAAATCACATTAACATGATGTATTAATGTATAAATTAGTAGTAACCATGAGGAAAATTTGTACTTTACCTCCAGAGACATGAGGTTCCTAACCAGAGCCTCAAGACTCCTAGTGGAGTTAGCTGAATCTCAAGTTGGCTGTGTACTGGTGTAGTGATCTAGGGCACTAGCTTGGGAGTACTAAATACTCACTTAGTTGTGCTTGCGGGGGTTGAGCTCTGGCTCTTTGGTCCCGCCTCTCAACTGTCAATCAACTGGTAAGTGAGCAGGTTTGAATGCTCCTCATGGCTCCTACTGATTTTCTCATCAGGACTATATCTGGCAACATCACCATCCAGTGTCTGAACATTCATGGCAGCCAAACTATCTTCTTGAGGTTATCTTGAGATGATTTCGGGGCTTAGTGTCCCCACAGCCCAATCCTTGACCAGGCCTCCTTTTTGTGATACCCCCCTCCCCCCCCCCCCCCCCCCCCCCCCCCCCCCCCGCGAAGCAACCCGTAGCAACTGTATAACTCCCAGATACCTATTTACTGCTAGGTAACAGGGGAGATCAGGGTGAAAGAAACGTTTTGCCCATTTGTCTCCACCGCCACCAAGGATCGAACCCGGCACCTCAGGACTACGAATCCGAAGTGCTGTCCACCCAGCTGTCAGGCGCCCTAGTACCGCTCCAGGCAGTACTAGGAGCGACTGAACTTTTATCAGTAGCAAATGAGTAATTACCAATATATATTTCAGGACTCAAAGAATTAACCAGATTTTGGTTCTGCCTTCTGGTAAGTAATAGATGGGTCTCAGGACTGGTGTGTAGGGTTAAGGCTTTGGTATAACTGGAGTTCAGCTGGGCAGCTGTTGTGAACCCTTCCCCCCAAACACATGATGAAATTACAACGTTGCTACAATGTTTGAACAAGTTTTAACACCTAACAGTTATATCAACCAATATAGCAAGTTGTAACAATGTTCATAAAAACATTACAACAAGATGTAAACTTTATTTCAAGTTATAACAAGGGAATCATAGGGACCATTACATTGTGTATTTGCAGAATTCAGACAGGGTATTTCATTTCTTCTAACATTTGATTGTTCTTTTCTATTCCAGGACAGAACACACACTGCATCATTACAAATACCATGCCTGTTCGTGTGAAGAACTATATTCACTCGGGTAAACACAACATTGTTCGACCTTCATGGATTGAGGCATGTTCTAAGAACGGTCGTTTGCTACCTTGGGGTCCCTTGGATGTTATACATGTTAGGGAGAATGAAAAGGAGCAAATGAAAGATCTGTTTGATGAGTTTGGAGATAGCTACACTGAACCAGCAGATGGGAAGAGCATTAAAAGAATTATGGACAATATGAAGAAAGAGGTAAGTCATAGTTGAGTGACAGGGGTCTTCTCATACTAGGGTGTGTTATACAAACTTGCATTTGCCTCACCCCTTGGGGTCAGCTGGGGCTTGGGGCCCTTGTTTGGCCTTGGGTAGAGACTGGTATTGTGCTGGTTAGGGTGTAATTACCTAAGTGTAGTTACAGGATGAGAGCTACGCTCGTGGTGTCCCGTCTTCCCAGCACTCTTTGTCATATAACGCTTTGAAACTACTGACGGTCTTGGCCTCCACCATCTTCTCACTTAACTTGTTCCAACCGTCTACCACTCTATTTGCGAAGGTGAATTTTCTTATATTTCTTCGGCATCTGTGTTTAGCTAGTTTAAATCTATGACCTCTTGTTCTTGAAGTGCCAGGTCTCAGGAAATCTTCCCTGTCGATTTTATCAATTCCTGTTACTATTTTGTATGTAGTGATCATATCACCTCTTTTTCTTCTGTCTTCTAGTTTTGGCATATTTAATGCTTCTAACCTCTCCTCGTAGCTCTTGCCCTTCAGTTCTGGGAGCCACTTAGTAGCATGTCTTTGCACCTTTTCCAGTTTGTTGATGTGCTTCTTAAGATATGGGCACCACACAACAGCTGCATATTCTAGCTTTGGCCTAACAAACTCGTACGTACTCCTACACATCATATGACGTGATGCGCAGTTGACTGGAACAACGTCCAACACGTCATATGACGTGATGCGCACTTTAAGGGTTAAAGTATTTGTGTGTGTATCTGATACTATACTACTTGTGTAAAGGAGGAAATGTATATGTTTATCTCTCAGAATGTTCGGCAATATGTTTATTGTTTGTGATGTGTGTCTATATATGTATGAATACGTTGTACTGAACAGTGTGAGAATAGCTTGAGCTACCTCATCCCTTTGTGTGTATTTTACCTCAATAAACTTATTTCAATTTCAATTTAGGGGAGTTCTATCCACTTCTCGGCTTTTGGTAGCAATATTTTCACCAGAATAGGGGTTTGTTTTGGGATGCTTACCTTTCTGGGTGCCTGACCCGGTCGATGGCGGACATAGAATGCTTCCAACCACACGGAGGTTTCTATAGGCCATTGCTCCCCATGCCTCTCTGAGGGGGCCAGGTTCTGGCTCGTGGTCCCCGGTAGGCCCACAGAACTCCATTCACATGACTGATGCCAAAGTCTGACATTAGCATATCAGCCTAGTATGCTCCGGGGAGCCGAAGGGGCTCCCCCCAGAAAACCAGTGTTGAATGTAATGAATCATCTTTTGCTGGGTGAGCCCGGCAGGCTTCCCGAACCTATCCGAACTGATATTTACTATTAGTTTGGGGTCATCAGTCACAGGAGTCTTTTTGCCTACCGGGAACCACTGCTCCCCCCCCCCCTCTCTCTCAGCGAGACGAAGGGAGCAATGGCCTACGAGCACTTTACTTTTAAAGTATGTGATAATTGCCATTGACTGGGGAAGCACCCAGAAAGATAGGCGAAACAAAACATACCATGATCTGGTGGTCAATTGTGACCCACATCTAAAAAGAGCAGAAGAACTCCCCCAGGAAGAAAACAAACAAGCAACACTTTGTTGACCAGACCACACACTAGAAGTTGAAGGGACGATGACGTTTCGGTCCATCCTGGACCATTCTCAAGTTGATTGAGAATGGTCCAGGACAGGCTGTAACGTCGTCGTCCCTTTACCTTCTAGTGTGTGGTCTGGTCAACATACTTCAGCCACATTATTGTGACTCATCGCCTGCAAGTAACACCATCTATCTTGGAGTCGGATGCTTGGATGCTGTCCCTGGACCTAAAGGACACGTATTGGTACGTCCCGATTCATCTGAGGTTCTGGGACTGGCTCGGTGTTTTAGTCTAGCTGCAGGGTTACCACTTTTGTTGCCTTCCCTTCGGTTTGAATCTGGTGCCTCACATTTTGAACGCAACTGTGTTTTCGGTTTGCAATTTTTAACTAGCTTTAGTTTGTTTTGGGAATCCTACCTTTCTGGTTGCCTAACTTGGTAGATCGCAGTTATAGACTGCTGCCAACTACATAAAGGTGTCTATAGGCCATTGCTCCTTGTACCTCTCTGAGGGGCCCAGGTTCTGGCTCGTGGTCCCCGGTAGGTATAGAACTCCATCAATTAACTGTTGCTACGGTCTAATATATACACATCAGGTATATATAGATCCGGGGAAGCCTCCAGATCTCACCCAGAAAATAGCATTTCATTACATTCAATGCTGGTTTTATAATATATTCTGTATACAATATGCTTAGTGTTAATGGATGTGTGCTGTAGATGCTTTGATTTCAAACAGAGTTTGTCAATGGTCTTTTGAAACAGCTTGACAAGTTGGAAAGTAAACAAACATATGATGATTAATACAGTATATATAATTACTATAGTGGTTTCAATAGTTCATAAATGTCATTGCAGGGTGAGCTATAAGTTGAGGCTGCAGAGTGCAGGTAGCGGTTGAGCTATAAGTTGGGGCAGCAGAGTGCAGGTAGAGGTTGAGCTATAAGTTGGGGCAGCAGAGTGCAGGTAGAGGTTGAGCTATAAGTTGAGGCTGCAGAGTGCAGGTAGAGGTTGAGCTATAAGTTGGGGCAGCAGAGTGCAGGTAGAGGTTGAGCTATAAGTTGAGGCTGCAGAGTGCAGGTAGAGGTTGAGCTATAAGTTGGGGCAGCAGAGTGCAGGTAGAGGTTGAGCTATAAGTTGGGGCAGCAGAGTGCAGGTAGAGGTTGAGCTATAAGTTGAGGCTGCAGAGTGCAGGTAGAGGTTGAGCTATAAGTTGGGGCAGCAGAGTGTAGGTAGCGGTTGAGCTATAAGTTGGGGCAGCAGAGTGCAGGTAGAGGTTGAGCTATAAGTTGAGGCTGCAGAGTGCAGGTAGAGGTTGAGCTATAAGTTGGGGCAGCAGAGTGCAGGTAGAGGTTGAGCTATAAGTTGAGGCTGCAGAGTGCAGGTAGCGGTTGAGCTATAAGTTGGGGCAGCAGAGTGCAGGTAGAGGTTGAGCTATAAGTTGAGGCTGCAGAGTGCAGGTAGAGGTTGAGCTATAAGTTGAGGCTGCAGAGTGCAGGTAGCGGTTGAGCTATAAGTTGGGGCAGCAGAGTGCAGGTAGAGGTTGAGCTATAAGTTGAGGCTGCAGAGTGTGGGTAGCAGTTGAGCTATAAGTTGGGGCTGCAGAGTGCAGGTAGAGGTTGAGGCTGCAAAGTGCAGGTAGGTGTTATAGGCTAAAGCCTTCTAGTGAGATGGTTAGCTTGAGCCTGATCAGAGGAAGTGTTGCATGTGGTTGAGCTTTGGTGAGAATGATCGAGATCTGTGCTCTTGTGGCCTTACTGTTTGTCGGTTTTCCTGGCTCAAACCAGTGCTGCTTGTTGACTGAGTAAGGGTAGTGTGTGGATGAAGCAGTACTGTTTTTCATAATGGCACTGATTTAGCTGCTATAGATTTTTATTAACTAAGCTTATTTTCAGTCATGGAGATCCCCATCAGTAGATGAGATGTGTGAACTGGATGAAAAACTTTGTGAACCAGATGATACTCGAGCTCTCTTCAGGCGCATTTCAGCTTTCTTTGTAAGTGTTATTTTGTTTCTGCACACAGATAACCTGTTAATTTAGTAACTATGCATTATACATATAAAGTCTAATCATATTTATCTTATTGTCATTGGGCCAAATGTTTTGAATTCTCACTGGAAATTTATATGTGTACAATCTAAAGTGTTAGCAGAGGCACACACTACCAATAATCTGAAGTGTTAGATAGTTTAGAGAACTGCAGCAGTTGTGTGGAGGAAGAAGGTATTGTGGTACAAAATAACAGCAATATTGCAGAGTCAGGTAATATAAACGATGAGAGCAACAGTGAGACAGAGTGCATAAATGAAGGAATTGGGACGAAAGACGGAGATGGCTCCAATAAAGAGGTAGACAGGACAGACACAGATATAAATACCATGAAAAATGCAAAACTGGAACACATTTGCAAATTCTATGCTAAAGGAATATGCAAATATGGAAAATTAGGAGCGAAATGCCATTTTCTGCATCCTCGAAAATGCAGGAACATGTTGGCGAGGGGTACATGCCGTTTTGGAACAGGGTGTAGAAACTTCCACCCTAAATTATGTCAATTTTCAATTAGGGACAAAAAATGCTACAATCTTCAGTGTCCGGAATTCCACGTGAGAGGTACACAGCGTTATAGATGGGAAGATCAATATGACACTACTGGAAATTTTTTAGAGGAAGGCAGAAACAGAGTAGTAAATATAAGAGAGAGGAACAGTCAGATGGAACCACTACAGGATTACAGAGGGGAAGGGAGATACCCACAAGACTGGAATACAAACTATCAACAAGCACACAGGTGCTACACCACACAACACCCGTCCTACTACCAAAATTGGACGAATCACTTCCAAAACAACACACCCTGGACGCAAACACAGTGGCCTCCTTACCAGAGCCTCAGATATTAACACCAAGTAAGGCATCCAGCACTTCCACTAACACGATAACATCATTTATATTTGCCAACATCCAGGGTATAAAAACACGCAAATCCAACAAAGTTCACTTTATTGATGGTCTCCTTCATGAGGCAAATGCAGTGTTTGCAGCCCTAACAGAAACCCACACAAAGGACTACCATGATGGTGAAATATGGATCTCAGAGTACAATCTTTTCAGATGTGATAGGAAACACCGGCTTCAGGGTGGGGTCAGCCTCTACATCAAAGACACACTCATCTGTACTGAGCTGCTAAACACCTCAAATGATATGGTGGAAGTGCTGGTAATCAAAATAGAGATTCTAAATGTAGTTATTGTCCTTCTATATAAGTCACCGGAGGCAAACCCTCAGCAGTTTAACCCTCAAACCGCTAGGGGCCCAAATGGAATTCACACCCAGAGGCGCAACAAAAAAAAAAAATTCCAAAAAATTCTTTCGTCTTATAGAAGTGTTCATTTTTGTTCCCTGATCACGGAAAAAATAACAAAAAAATCGTAGGTGGCATATTTTAGCCGCAATAGGGTAGGGAAGTGTGGCAAAAAAGGGGCGTTGGCAGAGCCTTCGCCAGACGAGGTCTACTCCGCCCGAGCTGTCAGATGGCAGTTGCCACAAATATATTATTACCTAATTATTTCAATGTCTCTGATTTTTTCTTAGTTTTTTTTGCAGTAATATTATTCCATACAGTGAATTGTGGTATATTTATATTATAAAATGAGTGTTTTGAGTACAGCGATGAACCATCGCTGTACTCAAAATTATGGTGTGCATATTAGTGATTCAATTATTATGATCATAAAACAATAAACAAATAGTTTTGCTGTTGTTACACTATATACACAGGTTATATATAAGTATTTGCATGTTTTGTACACCATAACGAACTACTAAGTTGGCCTTGTGTGTGTCAAAAAGCAACGAGGAGTGACTGCCAAACACCAGCGAGCCACTCACTGCCACTCCCTCCCTCAACACCACCTCACTCACCCTCATTCACCTTCCACAATACTCTTTCTGTATTTATTCACTATACACAGAAGTTATATATACGTATTTACATGTTTTGTTCACCATAACTGTACATCTAAGCTTGTATGGTGAGTAAAGGCACAAAGACGTAGCTACTCTCACAGTCAGCTGATCGGCGGCCGCCCTCAAGGCCAGACACACTAATATTTGTCATCCAACAATATTATTTGTGGTGTTATTACGCTATATACACACATTATAAATAAGTATCTACCTGTTTTATTCACCATACCTGAACAAATAAGCTGGTATGGTGCCCAAAGATCATAGTGGCCATCAGTAAACAACATGCCAAGTCGTGCAGACGACGCTCCTCCCTCACCAAAATGGCGGCTCCCAACCTACTCCTCTCGCTGTTATCTCACATTATACACACGTTATATATAAGTATCTACATTTGTGTTCACCATATCGAACCACTAAGCTGGTATGGTGAGTGCAGTCAATAAATGGTGGCCACACACAGTCAGAAAATGACGCCACAACCCTCCCTCCCTCAGCCTTACTCCTCCCTCCATGGAGCACAGCGCTAAATATCACCACAATCCTGCTATTATCAGAATCCTGGTCAGTTTTATCACAGTCAGGGGGCTTCAGTAATATTATCACTGCTAAATAATAGCATTATCATTTATATTATGGTATTTGTAGGCGATGCTGTGGTCACAAGCTGAACAGCGGTGCTGTGAGCTCGTGCTGCGTGCGCCAGCCTTGGTGGCTTGCTCAATACTGACGCTGTAACACCCAAGAATGTTGGCCTGGATTTTTTTTCTAGGTGGCATCTGGCAACTATCGGTCATGGCTGTACTATAGCTGCCCCTATCCCAGGCGGGGCATTTAAATTATAGCGCTAGACACGAAATCATATATAAATGATGTGCACAGTTTCGGTTTTGTCACTGATATCATTTATATATGATATGCGCGGTTTGAGGGTTAAAAACCAACTAATGAAAATAGAACACTGCTTGGAAAACCTCACAAATCCAGCTCCGAACATCATCCTGCTTGGGGACTTCAACCTTCGGCACCTGAAATGGAAGCACCTGGCTAATACAGTAATATCAGAAAGAATACCAGGAAGTAGCCTAAATGAACAGGCACATGCAAATGACCTGCTACGGATGTGTGACAGGTTTGCCTTAAACCAGCAAATAGTAGAACCAACTAATAAGGAGAACACGCTGGACCTCATTTTCACTAATAATGATGAATTGATCAGGAACATAATGATTACAAATACCTGTTACTCAGATCACAACTTAATTAAAGTTATGACAACCATGGGGAGTAGACCTTCAAAACCAGTCCAGATTCCCGGTGGAGGAGATTTCAGCAAATTCAACTTCAATAATAAACAGATAAACTGGGAGCAAATAAACCAGGACTTCACAGAAATAAACTGGGAAGAACAGCTAGAAAATGCAAACCTGAACCAGTGCCTGAAAAAAATAAGCTCAGTAGCACTAGAAATATGTTCAAACCGCATACCCTAAGAAAAAAGAGGAAAAGATGCAGATTGGAACGGGAACGTCGTTCCCTATATAGGCGAAGAAAACGAATCACAGAACAACTTGAGAGTCGCACCCTATCTCAAGAACGGCGAAGAAGGTTAAGTAAAGAAATAGAAACAGTTGAATGCAAGCTACAAGAATTATACAAAACCCAGGAGAGGCAAAGAGAGGAAAAGGCCATCAGTGAAATAGAGAGAAATCCGAAATATTTTCTCTCCTATGCAAAATCAAGATAAAAAACCACATCTAGTATCGGGCCCCTGCGAAAGGGAGATGGACCGATGACAACAAAGAAATGAGCGAGCTACTGAGGAAGCAGTACGACTCTGTTTTCAGTGAGCCATTAAACGCACTAAAGATTGATAACCCAAATGAATTTTTCATGGATATGATACCAACATCAAATCATATATCAGACGTCACCCTATCCCCACTGGATTTTGTAGAAGCCATAAACAGTATGCCTTTGCACTCTGCACCAGGCCCGGATTCTTGGAACTCCATATTCATCAAGAACTGTAAAAAACCATTATCGCAGGCCCTCCACATTCTGTGGAGACAAAGCCTAGATACTGGCGTTATTCCTGATATACTAAAAACAGCAGAGATAGCACCACTTTATAAAGGAGGAAATAAGGCAGAGGCAAAAAATTACAGACCGATGGCACTAACATCGCACATTATAAAAATTTTTGAGAGAGTGCTAAGAAGTAAGATCACAAAATACATGGAATCGCAGCATCTCCATAACCCCGGACAACATGGTTTCAGAACAGGGCGCTCTTGCCTGTCGCAGTTGCTGGACCACTATGATATGGCATTAGATGCTATGGAAGACAAACAAAACGCTGATGTAATTTACACAGATTTCGCAAAAGCTTTTGATAAATGTGACCATGGCGTTATTGCACATAAAATGCGTTCAAAAGGAATTACCGGAAAAATAGGCAGATGGATCTACAATTTCCTGACCAACAGAACTCAATGTGTAATAGTCAACAAAATAAAATCCAGCCCATCAACCGTGAAGAGCTCAGTCCCCCAGGGTACTGTGCTTACTCCAGTACTTTTTCTCATCCTCATATCGGACATAGACAAGAACACAACCTATAGCACTGTATCATCCTTTGCAGATGACACTAGGATCTTCATGAGAGTAGGCAACATAGAGGACACGGCAAACCTCCAATCAGATGTAGATCAGGTCTTTCTATGGGCTACAGAAAATAATATGGTGTTTAACGAAGATAAGTTTCAGCTCATGCGCTATGGAAAAAATGAAAATATAAAAACGGAAACCACGTACAAAACTCGGGCAAATCATAACATAGAACGTAAAGGCAATGTAAAGGATCTGGGTGTACTCATGTCGGAAGACCTTACCTTTAAAGAACACAATAAAGTATCCGTCACAACTGCAAGGAAAATTACAGGTTGGATAACAAGAACTTTTCACACTAGAGATGCTATACCGATGATGATACTTTTCAAAACGCTTGTGCTCTCTAGAGTGA